GATCGTTGCTTAACAAAGGGAATTTTTTTAACAGTGGCAACTACTGGGCAGCTCCAAACCGCTTCATCCTTTGTACAGATGTTTTACTTGAACTGAACATTAAAATGAGGCCACAGAATGTATTTGAATCTGTGGTTTATTTGCCTGAATAATGCAGTCCTGACTGACCATTTGTAAGCTTTGCCAAAAAAAAAGTAAGGGCAGGTATCTAATTTCATTTTGAAATTGACAGGCACATTTAAGATCTCTCAATGCAATAATTTAATGGAATGGGTAAGGCACCAGGCTAGAAGCCAGGAGAATGCGAGTTCTAATCCTGTCTCTTATGTATGAAAGCTGGCTGGCTGACTTTGGGCCAATCACCAGGAGACGGTGAGTTCTAGTACCGCCTTAGCACGAAAACTGGCTCGGTTGGCCTTGGGCCAGTCACTCTCTCAGCCCAACTCACTGCACAGTTGTTAAAAGTGTGTAAGTCATGGACAATCTGTTGTTGGGGGGGGGGGGAATAGGAGTATTGTGTGTGTTCACCATCTTGCTGTTTATACAAAAAAAAGGGGGGGGCAGGATATAAACAAATCACTGCTCAGGCTGCTTCTGGGGAAAAAACGTGTCAAACTGGTGTTCCTACAATGGGAAGAAAACTTAACTAGTAGGTTAACCTGACACACAAATCCTTCTTTGGAGACCAAGCCGTGCAAAATCTGATTTTTTTAAATCCTTCCATTCATGAAGGAGAATTCTGTAAAGCAAGAGCCCTGTAAACGCTTCGTCTTTTAGGGTGTTCCTTTTTATGACTCACTTTGCATATTGACCTATGTAGTGCTGACTTTGTGCCTTTTTAAAAAGGGGTGTGTGTAAAGGAATAAACTATTTTATTTTCTTGGGAAATCCCTAGGAAAAAAATGATGCCACTCGGGATGGAGATGCTGTGGGTTGTGAGGAACAGCATGGGAATCTATGGGTTGCCTCTCCTTAGATTAGTGGTTCTCAACCTGTGGGTCGGGACCCCATTTGGGGTCGAATGACCATTTCACGGGGGTCGCCAAACAAGGCTGTCCGCCATTTTTTCCCCCTTTTCTTTGGCCACGCCCCTGGCACCCGGTGATGCCACTCCTCCCGTTCCATCCCTCCTGGCCTCGCATGTTCTCCTTTTCCCGGGCATGACCCACTGCATCACCTCCTCAGCTGTTGGCCGGCCGTCGAGCTCAGAGGCGGCTTATCTGAACTGGCAGTGGGCTACGGAGCCCTAGAGTGCGCTGGTTGAGGGGCCAGCAGGCTGTGGCTGCTGACGGACACTGTCGGCCTCCATGCGCTCGCTGGCCTCTGTGTGCGGGGGCCCATGGTGTCAGGCAGCAGCTGCCCTGGCCCTGCGACAGTGGCACCCCCGCCCTGCCTCGCCTCCCCTCACCCCGCAGGATGAGCCTCCTGCCCACTGTCCCACCCACCAGAGACTCCCTGGATCTCCTCCAACCCTGTCCAGCCCCCACAGGTGTCCCTCCCCACGAGCAACATCGAGGTGACCACGGCCACCTTGGCCACACCCACCCATTCTGCCCTGACCACAGCTACGCCCACTTGGCACTGTGATAAGTGGGGTTTGGGTTGCAGTTTGGGCACTCGGTCTCTAAAAGGTTCGCCATCACTGCTTTATTAGAGTTTCTACATTTTTGCGTTTGTGGTCCGATTACAAGTATCCTGAGGTCTTGACACTTGAATGGGCTTGCCTTTTTTGAGAAAGCGGTTTTTGAAGAACGATCAAAACAGGAACCCGGAAGCACCATGACTGCTTGAAGGAAAAGAGTCTCCATTCGGTGTACAGATTGTCCATGACTTACAACTGGTCACTTTAACAACTGTTTGAAATTACAACAGGCCAGTAAAGCACTTACGGTCATCACCAAATGTTGTGCCTCACACAGACAGAAATACATCCTTTGGCCACAAAGTTGCATTTTTGGTGCTTGGCAACTGGCTCTCCTTTATGACCAGTTGCAGGGTCTTGCAGTCAACGTGTCCATGATTCAAGTGATTTTTGCCGGTTCCTGGCAAACAAAAGACTGGGTTCACACTTAACGACTGTGGCATTTGCTTCATAACCACAGATTTACTCAATGACTGCCACACAAAAAAAAATGTAAAGCGTAGCACAGTCATGTGGGGTGCGCAGGTTTACAAACCACAACTTATGAGGGGAAATTTGGCCTCATTTGCAGTTGTAAGACAAGGACTGCTTGGGCTACATCCACTTGATCAGAGCGGATCATCGTGGCAATAAAAGTTGGGGTCATCAGTGTTCGTTTCAAGAGAATTCATTAAAAAAAAAAACACTTATTCTGATCCAGGCTCTTATGCAAAAAGTCTGAAAATACATAGAAAAGGACCCATTTCACAATCTGGCCAGTTGATTAAAACAGTGCTTTTCAACCAGTAGTACGGGTACCACCTGTGGTATGTTGGCATCTGGCAGGTGGTACGCGACCATCCTAGAAAAGTAGCGGGGGAGGGGAATGAGCTGAACCGGTGGCAGCACCGCACAAGCCTGAGCGAGAGACGGCTGGAGCTGCAGGGCTGTCAGGGCTCAGCGGAAGCACCAGGATCAGCGCTTCTTCGGGGCTGTCAGAGCTCAGTGGAAGCACCAGGATCCAGCTGGAGCTTGGCACTGATCCTGGCACTTCTGCTGAGCCCAGAAGAGGCGCCGATCAGCTGGAATGTTGCAGCATCTCCAGAGTCTTGTGATTTATATTCAGATGCTTGGCAACTGATTCATATTTATGACGGTCACAGTGTCCCAGGGTCATGTGAAGTGACCAAAACCTGCTGCAACCACCCAGCAGACAGGGGGAATAAAAACCATCAACCCCCCCCCACCCCAGCCCCACTGTCAATCCTCAACAGAAATATTCACAACAATGAAAACCTCGGACAGGAGGAACAGCGTCGCCAGGCGAGCAGGCAGGCGTCTTGCTCAGCTGTAGCTTGGGGGGGGGCACTTTTTTCAGTGCCATTGTAACTTCTGACAGTCACTAAGCGAACTGTTGTAAGTCGAGGACTACCTGTACTTTATCACTTTTTTTCCCTTTTTTGGGAGGGGGTTAAGTTTTTGACACCTTGCTAGACGACGGGTGGTACTCGGATGTTGCCATATCCTAAAAGTGGTACAATGGGTGAAAAGGTTGAAAAGCCCTGGATTAAAACATTAAATCTGAAATAGATATCTGGGAATTAGTAGCAGATATATAGGGCTTGTATATCAAATGTAAAGTTGATTTGCTAATAAACTCACAGAAAGCCAAACTGGGTGATTGGGGGGAGAGCTCCCTATATCCACCTTCGGCTCCTATTTCAGAAGGCAGAATTTTCCAGCTGTTGCCTAAGCTTAGCAACGCAATCAAATTTCTCTCCAGTCCCTTCTGCCTTCATGTCACTCAAACTCAACACCTCATCCCCATCTCTTTGTACGTTGCTTACTAGTGTGAAAACTCCCTTCCCTCTCCCTAAACAACTTGAGAGTGAAAAGTGTGGAATTTCAAGGGTGGAAAAGTATTCCTATCACCCAGGTGTAGTCAAGACTTGTCTTCAAGATGAGTAGTGTTTTATTGCGGCCACTGGAGGATTCTAGGATGCCAAAACTTCCTTCCAGAAGCATTAGCTTCTTGAGCCTGTGACGGTCTAGAACAGGGGTGTCCAAATTTGGTAACTGTGTGGGCTTCAACTCCCAGAATTCCCCAATTCACCATGGCTAGCTAGGGAATTGTGGGAGTTGACGTCCGCAGGGCTTAAAAGTTTAAAGCAGTGTTTCTCAACCTTGACCGTTTTAAGGCATGTGGACTTCAACTCCCAGAATTCCACAGCCAGCATTGCTGGCTGTGGAATTCTGGGAGTTGAAGTCCACATGCCTTAAAACGGTCAAGGTTGAGAAACACTGCTTTAAAGCATGACTGGCTGAGGAATTCTGGGAACTGAAGTCCACAGTGGCCAAAGCTGGATACCCCGAGAGAAGATCCTTTCAGAAGCACATTCTTTCATGCACGTAGTTGCATCCATGCGGTGTCTAGTCAGCTTTTTCTCCAGGTTCCTGTCTCAAAAACCCTGCTCATGCCAAGTTTCACACAAACATTATTCACGTCCCCAAATGTACCATACCATGAATGGTTTGCTGAAACTTCTTAAGTAGGAGGGTATTAATAGATTTACTTAGGGGTGGGGGAAAAAAGCAAAGAGCCAAATTTATCGAATGTAAGTTTGTTGGTTGGATTATACTGGAGGGAAAATTTTGTGTTTATTATGGATGAATGGTTGTTTAAAAGAAATATACACCTCAGCGTGGAGAAGGTGGATAAATTACATGTAGAGTAAATATGGGTTAGAGTTGATACGGGATTAAAAAGTATTATTTAGATTATGAATAATTTTTAGTTTTTAATTTGGAATTGCTTATATTGTTATTTTTTTTTAATTTGCGTAAATTTGTATTCGAGTTAAAGCACATTATTGATTTTGTTATTTGTATAGTTGGATAAGTTTATTTAGAATTTGCTTGTTTATTTGTAACCCTGTAACCAGTTCTGGGAAGTGAGGGGGGGAGGGAGGGGGGTTATTCTAGGGGGGGGGTTATTGTTAAAAACTTGTATAAAACTTTTCAATAAAAAAAGAAGCACATTCTTTCATGCATGTAGTTGCATCCATGCGGTGTCTAGTCAGCTTTTCCTCCAAGTTCCTGTCTCAAAAGCCCTGCTCATGCCAAGTTTCACACAAACATTATTCACGTTCCCAAATGTACCATGGCTGAGTAGGTACATGGCCTCAACTTCCTGCAGTTCTCTCTCTCTCTCTCTGCTAGAGACTGACTGGGCCCTCTCACCAGTTAATGGTTGAGTTGGCTTTCTTAGCCAGATGTTCTGAAACGAAAGGCCATTTCCATCTGCATGGTCAGAATTGACCAGCCAAGTGGGACCCTCTCAGCTTGGCTCCCAATCAACCAGGAAACGTACCGGAGCAAATTTAAGTACAGTTCAACTTTAATGTTGGTTTACGTAAAACAGAGCCCGCACAACCGTTTCGGAAGGGTTTCAGACATAGCCGCTGGATTTTCTTGGAAAGGCAATTCAGGAGGGGGTGACGGGAATAATAGTCCAGCTCTAGGAACGTGCAGATGAAAAGCATCTTAGCTTCTCTGTTGAGAAAAGAGAACAGAAGCAAATGAACAGAGAGGAACACTGGCCTATTTCCATACCTGAGGAGAAGAAGTCAAGGATGCCAGTCAAATGACATTCATAAAGGTGTATCAAGCCATCGGTGTTTCTTCTGAGGAGTCTGAAATACAGACTGTGGCCTAGTACAACTTTTCTGTTCTTAAAGAGTTTGTAAGAGTTGAGAGGTTAGAGGGTTTGCAGAAGTTGACACAATAAGTATAGGCCAGGGGTAGGCAACCTTGGCTCTTTTATGACTTGTGGACTTCAACTCCCAGAATTCCTGAGCCAGCCATGCTGAGGGGAAAGGGAGTTTCCAAGCTGAGCCATGCTGGCTCAGGAATTCTGGTAGTTGAAGTCCACGAGTCATAAAAGAGCCAAGGTTGCCTATCTCTGGCCTAGGCCTAGGCCCCTTTATGACTCATGGACTTCAACTCCCAGAATTCCTGAGCCAACCTGGCTCAGCTTGGAAACCTCTCCCTTTCCCCTCAGTATGGCTGGCTCAGGAATTCTGAGAGTTGTAGTCCACGAGTCATAAAGCGGCCTAGGCCTAGGCCAGAGATAGGCAACCTCGGCTCTTTTATGACTCGTGGACTTCAACTCCCAGCATTCCTGAGTCAGCCATGCTGAGGGGAAAGAGAGAGGTTTCCAAGTTGAGCCGTGCTGGCTCAGGAATTCTGGGAGTTGAAGTCCACGAGTCATAAAAGAGCCAAGGTTACCTACCCCGGTATATGTAATCCTCAATTTATGACCAGTCAAAGTTACAACGGATCCCTGAAAAAGGTATTTGCAACACAGATTTGAAGTGGCAACAGCCACACAATCAACTCCCGTGTCATGCGATCACATTTTGGATGCTTGGCAACTGGCTCACATTTAACGGCAGTTTGCAGCATTCTGTGATCACGTGGCTGCAATTTATGTTTTTGCTGGAAACGGGTTCAATTCCGATTAATAAAGCTCCTTACTGAACAATTCCCTCAATAACCATCGCAAAAAGTAGTAAAACTGGGTCCAGTCGTGTGAAGTTCTGCATAATGACTTAATCACAACTTACAACTGTACTTGTAGGCTCAACTATGGTTGTAAGTCAAGGACTACCTGTGTCACATATACTTCCTTTGTGGTATTTAATTTTAACACAAGCTTTTTGGTTCTTATAACAGAATACGTGTTCTCTAATGATGTTCTAAATCTGGCTATTTTACAGCTTTCCTTACGAAAGCTTGTTTAGTTTTCACACTATAAAACCAAAACTTGAGACAATCTCATGCGAACCAACCAATGTTTGTAAATGAAGGCTGACGGCTTAGTCTGTTGGGCAAATCCAGACAAAAATCAGTTAGATAATTAACGACTTACTGCAATGTGCAACTTTAGTCAATGGATTCAAGTCACTTAGTTCCCAGTAAAATAAATCAAGTAAATTTGGTTCTGATTTTAACAATTAATTACTTAAACAGAACAAAGGTCAGATAGCTTGGATCTGAGTTGGTGTCCCAAACAATTAACATTAATCAATAGGAGAATGAAACCACGCAAAATAATTGGAAAAAAGCCCAATTCTATTCCAGGTTTAAGGACTGCAAAAGCCTGAATAAGTAGCAGTTTAAAGGTAATTACAGGAACATAAATGTGAACAGATAGGTTGTCACACAACCATGGATTAGAGAACAATATGAATATAAAATTTTGAGCCCAGCTAACATGCTCACCTCATAGAAAACCCGTCTGAGCATGCACTAGTTTTAGCCCATTTCTTATGTTCATTTCAAAAATTAAAACAATTAAAAAAGTAAGTCCTAAGGGGGAAAAAAAGTATGCTCCTCTTGGTCCAAACAATTTTTAGTTTGAAATTGGCCATTGAGAAGTCACATTTATGGAGAATTCAGTTACCAGCAGCAACTGGTAGAAGGAGAAATTTCTTGACAGTGAGAACAATTACCAGTGGAACAACCTGCCTCCAGAAGCTGTGAATGCTCCAACACTGGACAGCCATTTGTCTGAAATGGTATAGGGCAGGGGTAGGCAACCTTGGCTCTTTTATGACTCGTGGATTTCAACTCCCAGAATTCCTGAGGCAGCCATGCTTGAGGGGAAAGGGAGAGGTTTCCGTGCTTAGCCATGCTGGCTCAGGAATTCTGGGAGTTGAAGTCCACGTCATAAAGTGGCCTAGGCCTAGGCCAAAGGTAGGCAACCTTGGCTCTTTTATGACTGGTGGACTTCAACTCCCAGAATTCCTGAGCCAGCCATGCTGAGGGGAAAGGGAGAGGTTTCCAAGCTGAGCCATGCTGGCTCAGGAATTCTGGGAGTTGGTCCACCAGTCATAAAAGAGCCAAGTTGCCTACCCCTGGTATAAGGTTTCCTGTCTGAGCAGGAGGTTGGACTAGATGACCTCCAAGGTCCCTTCCAACATCATCATTACTATTACTATTGTTATTATTATCGTCATCATCGGGCAATTACTGTCTTCTAGAAAAAGTCTGTCTCAGCATATCAGGAATTAATAACAAAAAAAAAGTTATCACCTCCAAAGCCACCTTGGGCTCTTGAATGGGCCAGTGTGACAAGAAACGGCCCAAGAATTCAGACATTCCTCAACGAGCCACGCCTCCCCTATCACAAATTTCCCAATGAACTCACCTAAACTTTGGGAATTATACCACTACAGTAGATTGCTCTATTTTCTGCTTGGTGATGAATTCAGGAATAATTCAATATAACTATGCTCTGCAAAATAAAAGAAGATAAATGTCAGGCACAAAGACTCAGCACCATTCGTAAGGCTGCCGCACAGGTTATTCATTGAAGTCTATATACAGGAAATCTGGTAAACTAAAAGTTCAACACTAAATTGGTGCAAGATACGGGCAGTCCTCGGCTTATGACCATGATTGAGCGCAACATTTCCACTGCCAAACAAGACAACGGTTAAGTGAGCTTTGCCCCCATTTTATACTCTTTCTTGCCACAGTTGTGAAGGGAATCGCTATGCAGTAGTGGCCAAAATTGTGGAAACCTTTTGGGAAAAGTGTACATTTGAGGTTTGATGGCTAATAACACCACTGTTGGTTTGGAGTAGTACCATAAAATTATATATCAATGGAAAGATAATTTAACCAAGAATGTAATGCAACATAGTTTGTTCAATTATCTGTATTCTATGAAAAGTTATAGCCAAATAACCAGAAAAAGGAAGTACAACTTGCTTAGGTTGATATCAGGTAGCTTTCCTTCATCCGATTGTAGCCAATGAGCACGAGTGTTTAGAGAGCCAATCGGGTGTCATCTTGTTTTGGCAATGAGCCAATCAGATCACAGTAGGATCCAGTGATTGATGTCGTGTATTGAAGCTGAGAGGAGGACATTGGTCAGTGTGTTATGTGATCGCTGTCGAGTTGGTTGGGTTTTTTTGTGTTCTTTCATTGAGTGAGCTTGTAAAACATAATAAAATTAAAGTAGTGGTGCAAAGAGTTGACTGGTCGTCCAGAAAGCAATGTAAAATAGTATTATTAAGTGAACAAGGCTACAGCTATAAAGGAATTAGAAGAAAAAAGGGTGGAAACTTAACCAAAGGTGGCATTTCTACTGTACACTTTTCCCAAAAGGTTTCCACAATTTTGGCCACGACTGTAGTTGTTAATAACATGGTTAAGTGAATTTAGTTTCCCCACTGACTCTGCTTCTCAGGTCGCAAAAGTTGATTTACATGACCCTGGGACGTGCAATCGTCATAAATACGAGCCAATTGCCAAGTATCTGAATTTTGATCACGGGATCGTGGGGGTGCTGCAATGGTCGTTAAGTGTGAAAAATGGTCATGTCACTTTTTAGTGGCATTGTAACCTTGAACAGTCACTAAACGAATGGTTGTAAGTCGAGGACTACCTGTATGGATCAACGGGGTTCAGGAAGGGTTGGGAACTGCAGCGCTTGGGGGAACACAATGATTCTAAACTGATGGTGTGTTTAACTCTGCCCTCCCAGCAGTTCTCCTACAACAGTGGTTCTCAACCTTTTTAATGCCGCGACCCCCAACCGGTCGTAAGTCGAGGACTACTCCACTGGTGCAGCACCGTTTGCAGAATGGGACTTTTGGCAGGCTCAGCAGGGCAGAGACAGCCTGGACAATTCCTATTGGCTTTTGAAAGCCAATAGAATTAGACTCTATTCAAGAGAGTCTATTCTATTGGCTTTCAAAAGCCAATAGAATAAAAGGGACTAGCACAGCTAAGGAAAAAGGGGAAAAAAATGGCGGACTGCATTGTTTGGCGACCCCCGTGAAATGGTTGTTTGACCCCAAATGGGGTCCCGACCCACAGGTTGAGAACCACTGTCCTACAATAAACGAAAAATTAATTCGAAGCAATTTCTGTCAGCTATTAGCTGTGACTAACACCTGCCTTTAGGAAATCCACATTCCTGGCATTGGCTTATTCAAAAACGTATAGCGGTCCTCGCAACTGCTTTTCAAACCCCACAAGCCTGTGAAAAATTCACAAGAGGTACTCACGGACTTTGAAGTTGTTCTTGGCCATGGCGGCAACTGCGTCTGTGTGTGTTTCAAAGTGTATGTCTGCTTCTCCGGTCGCCTGGCCACATGAATTATATTCCATTGTGATCCTCACGGGCTTTAAGGGAGCAAAAAACTAAAAAACCAAACCAAACACCACAACAAAAACCCAGGAGGGTTTAGTTAATCAACCTGATATAAACTATACGTCAAAGTATCAAGTGAACAATCAAATCACGGGCCAGCATTAAAAATACTAACCATGAATCATAAGCCAGAGGCTGAAATGTCGGGCTCGTATAATATAAATGCTAAAGCATTAGCAATCAATTTCTCAGGCAAGCACTTTTAATTGACACTCCCCTGCACTCATCCCTTTCCTTGTGATAAAAAAGCTACTGGAAATTTCAGAGAAATACATTTCAGCCAGAAATTTCTAAAACTAGATAGAAGTAATCCTTGACTGACGACTACAACTGAACCCAACATTTCCATTCACTTAATAACTGTGACAAGAAAAGTCATAAAATAAGGCAAAGCTCACTTAACAACTGTCTTGCTTAGCAATGGAAAGTTAATAATAATAGTAGTAGTAGTAGTAGTAGTAGTAGTAGTAGTAGTAGTAGTAGTAAAGTTGGAAGGGACCTTGGAGGTCATCTAATCCAACCCCCTCCTCAGGCAGGAAACCCTATACCATTTCGGACAAATGGCTGTCCAGTCTCTTCTTAAAAACTTCCTGTGTTGGAGCGTTCACAGCTTCTGGAGGCAGGTTGTTCCACTGGTTAATTATTCTAACTGACAGGAAGTTTCTCCTTAGTTCTAGGTTGCTTCTCTCCTTGATGAGTTTCCATCCGTTGCTTCTTGTCCTGCCTTCAGGTGCTTTGGAGAATAGCTTGACTCCCTCTTCTTTGTGGCAGCCCCCGAGATACTGGAACATGGCTATCATGTCCCCCCTCGTCCTCCTCTTCATTAAACTAGACATACTCAATTCCAGCAACCATTCCTTATATGCTTTAGCCTCCAATCCCCTAATCATCATTGATACCAATGAAGGAGAATATCTGTGTCTGGCTTGTTTTCTTGCAGACGTTCCATTACCCAACTAGGTAACATCATCAGTGCTAAAAGGGAGGGCGGGGATTTGCGGCGGCGGCGAAGGAGGAGGAGGAAGAGGGTGGGGTCCTTGGTGTTCTCTGAGCTGGCTTGTTTTCTTGCAGACATTTTGTGACCCAAACCAGCTAACATCATCAGTGCTAGTAAGGAGTGCGGTTTGCTGTCAGTTTATATTCTGGTTGTTAAGTTAGTTACACGGTTGTCAAGTGAATCTGGGTTCTGCTTTGGCTTTTCTGTTCAAGAGGTTGCAAAAGTTTTATCCCATGAGCCCAGGACCCTGCAACCCTCCTAAACACATGCCGATTGCTGAATTTTGATCCAAATGTCGATAGTGCAGCTTCTATAAGTAGCTTAACGTTAATCTGACCTTCTTGCAACTTTCAATGACTGACTTCAGACATTAGAAATCCAGGCTGGAAACAGGCCTTTTCCCCCACTCACAACTGCTCAGGATGTTTGAAACCACCTTACCCCCACCCCCCCGCCCTGCATACCTGTATGATATCTTGCGCCGTTGCTTGAAAAGGCATTCCTCTCAGGTGGACAAAGTAAGGGGCCGAGAAGCTTCCCAATTCAGCCACCTCCTGAGGCTTTTCAAATACTTGCTTATAAACCTCTGTAGAGGCAAGACAGCAAAACAAATATTTGCAAATTATATTTATCTGCCATTCATTCTTGGTATGGTCTTTTTATAGCAAAATAAAGCAAAGGTAGCACCAGTAGTAATAATACCGTGTTCCCCTGTAAGTAAGATGTACCCTGAAAATAAACCAACTTGATTTTGGGGGGTGGGCCCAATATAAGCCTTACCCCCCAAAATAAGCCCTAGTTTTGGGGCAAGGTGCACACCTAAAACTCAAGCTAGGGCGGGGGGGGGGTAGAGCTGGCCCATGCACCCCTTACCCGCTTACTGTTGCAGTCAGGCCTCACCTCGCTGGCCCACTTCTTCTGCAGTGCCCCCTGGCCTGCATTGGGTCGTCAGAGGCCTTCCGGATTGAATCCGTAGCTCGGTTCTCAGCTGCAAGATCTTTCCGGAAGGCCTCTGACGGCCAAACGCAGGCCGAAGCGCCATCCTCAGCTGCAAAGGCATTTCCTTCAGCCACACAAGAAGTGGGCTGTCTGGGCAGGGCTGGCTGTGCCACCACGAGGTGAGACTGTGGAAAAGACACACACACACACACACACACACACACACACCTGAAAATAAGACCTGGTGCCTCTTTTGGAGGCAAAAAATAAATCAATCAGACAGGGTCTTATTTGGGGGGAAACGGGGTAGTAATAATACTAAGTACTAAGGACTACAGGCACTTTGGGTGCAATCCCAAAAGAACTGGAGCACCACTTGGGACACCATCGGCGTTGGCAACTTCGCCCTCAGTCAATGGCAAAAGGTAGTTTTACGTGGAACAGTCACAATATACCTTCAGCACCATCAAACTTTCACATCTGCCTATCCCAGGTCCCTGGGAGGGACTGTATAGGTTGGCAACAAGGCCAAATCCAGTCTAGACATCTGGCTGACTGTGCGATAGACCGTAATAAAATAACACAATGGAGCATCGCTTAAAACCCCATTGGCATTGACAACTTCACCCTCAGTCAGTTTGCAAAAGGTAGTTTTACTTGGAACAGCTTTCATTCTGCGACGCTACCTTCAACACCATCAAACGTTCCAATGTGAACGTTTGGGGAGGGCAAGATAGGTAGACAAAAATGGCAAATCCAGTCTGAATTATCGGTCTAGCTGTACGGTGAACCATAATAAATCAAGAAAGAAAAGAAAAGAAAAGAAAAGAAAAGAAAAGAAAGAAGGAAGGAAGGAAGGAAGGAAGGAAGGAAGGAAGGAAGGAAGGAAGGAAGGAAGGAAGGAACAAAAAAATTCAAAAGGACGGACTTGATAGCCCACTGGGTCTTTTTCTACTATTAGTTTTCTAGGTTTCTAGGAAGCCGACTTCAAACAAATGCTCCACTTTACGGCCACAACGGAGCCCAAAATTTATGTTGCTAAATGAGACATTTGTTAAGTGAGCCTTGCCCCCCCCCCTTTTTTTTAAATGACTTTTTTTGGCCACATTTGTGAAGTGAAATCACTGCAGTTGTTAAATTTTAGTTAACACAGTTGTTAAATGAACCCGACTTCCTCACGGACTCTGCTTGTCTGACGTCGCAAAAGGGGATCCGATTGCACGACCCTGTGACACTGCAACCGTCATAAATGTGAGTTACTTGTCAAGCATCCGAATGTAAATCCCAGGACCATGGGGATGCTGCAACGGCCGTAAGTGTGAAAAAGGGTCATAAAAGTCACTCTTTCCAATGCTGTTGTAATCTCAAACGGTCACTAAGTGAACTGTTGAACAGGGGTCTCCAACCGTGGCAACTTTAAGACTTGTGGACTTCAACTCCCAGAATTCCTCAGCCAGTCATGCTGGCTGGGGAATTCTGGGAGTTGAAGTGCACAAGTCTTAAAGTTGCCACGGTTGAGGACCCCTCAAAGCTGGCTGAGGAATTCTGGGAGTTGAAGTCCACAAGTCTTAAAGTTGCCACAGCTGAGAACCAACCCCTGCTGTAGAGGACTACCCATAAGATCTGCGCTCACCGTTTTTCTTTTCATTTTCGTAGGCCGGGCTGGCCTTCGAGACCTCGTTCAACTTGCTTTCCTCAAAAATGTTTTCGGAACCCGATTTTGGAACCGTAGACGTCATCATCTTCTTATATCGGAAAAAGTCATTGTGTGTTCGAATTGCACTTTTCTGACTCGGGACTATCTCTATATAGCTAGAAAGTTTTTTTTTTTTTTTAAAGGGAAAGAGTTAGACCATGATGATTATCAAAGCAGTTTTTTTAAATACACGAAAGCTCAGTTGAAACATCAGAATTTTCTGTCAAACCCGGACTTGAGCCCAACAGAAAACAGATACGTTGGGATCAAGGGAAAACTAGTTTGTTCAGGCACACTTTGGCTTACGAAGCGCAAAACAATTGCAAAACAAAGTCAGGTAGCAAAACACACACACACACACACACACACAACCCTGCCCGCCCCTTGAACCAACTCATACTAAAAAATTGCTTCATGTGCAAGTGAGAACATGGCCGTTCCTTCCCTCTTAAAAATGACCCCTTTCCGTGATTTTCCTACCGGTTTCCAATTTCTTCCTTATGCTTCAACAAAGCTTTATTAGCCATTTCCGGTGTGGCAAACTGTACAAAAGCCTCTCCTGTTTTCCTCCTTCCGTCGTAGTCAAAGACAAATACGATGTCCTGTATGGTCAAACCTGGAAGAGAAGCCATTTTGCAGCACGTCAGTAGACTCAGCCAGATCATCCAAAGGCACATCTTGCAATTTGTTTCGGTAAGAGAAATAAAACGCGCAGACCCTCTGCCACACAGTACAACCTTCACATTGGTCTTAAATAGGATGATCTCAACTTTAGGTGTCAACATGGAAACCTACCAAGCACAGAAGCAACCTGGAACTAAGGAGAAACTTCCTGACAGTGAGAACAATTAACCAGTGGAAAAACCTGCCTCCAGAAGCGGTGAATGCTCCAACACTGGAAGTTTTTAAGAAGACAGACATTTGTCTGAAATGGTATAGGGCCGTGGTGGCGAACCTATGACACGCATGCCACAGCTGGCACGCAGAGCCCTCTCTGTGGGCACGCACGCCGTCGCCTCACTCCTAGGCCTTCAGCTGGGTTTTATAAAACCTTTTCACTTTAGACTTCCGCTGCCGTGTGCAAAAAAAAAAAAAGGTTCAATTTCAACTTCTCATGGGAAAAAAAGTTGGAATTGATTGATTGAACTTTTTAGTCCCATCTAGTCTGCCATTACCACTGCAGCCATGGCCACCCAACTGGCCACGCCCATCCAATGAGCCACGTCCACCCGGCACCTGACGATACATAAGTGGGTTTTGGGTTGCAGTTTGGGCACCTGATCTCTAAAAGGTTCGCCATCACTGGTATAGGGTTTCCTGTCTGAGCAGTGGGTTGGATTAGATGACCTCCAAAGTCCCTTCCAACTACTACTACTACTACTACTACTACTACTACTACTACTACTTCTTCTTCTTCTTCTTCTTCTTCTTCTTCTTCTTCTTCTTCTTCTTCTTCTTCTTCTTCTTCTTCTTCTTCTTCTTCTTCTTCTTCTTCTTCTTCCTCCTCTTCTTCTTCTTCTTCTTCTTCTTCTTCTTCTTCTTCTTCTTATTATTATTATTATTATTATTATTATTATTATTATTATTATTACATATTTTTGTTTTGTCCCCGAGCAATCAAACCTGCTGTCAATGCTGTAACAATGAATGCTCTGACAACTGATGGAAATTGCAGCCATTTTTACTTTGCTTTTAACCTGCTTTTTCTTCTGTTTAGAGATCAGGTGTTGAAGGGTGAATGCTTGAGCTCGGCTAGCCATAATAATAATGCAGTTCTGTGGGAACTCAAGGACACAAACCCCTAACGTTTTGGCGGGCTGAGGCGCTGGGGAGAGAGCTTGCGCTTCGGGCTAATTGGAGAATGTGAATTAGGACTGCTTAGTGGGGGTGGGATTTGCAACTTGTTACTTTGTATTTGGGGAGAGGGAATCTAGTTTTGGGTTCAGCTATGTAGTGCCGATACTTTGTTTCCTGAATAAAATGTTCTCTAAGGAAGAATTTTTTCCTTAAAGTTCTTTAAGGGGTTTCATCTATCGCAGTGTTTCTCAACCTTGACAATTTTAAGGCATGTGGACTTCAATTCCCAGAATTCCACAGCCAGCAATGCTTTTGAAAGCCAATAGAATAGACTCTCTTGAATAGAGTCTAATTCTATTGGCTGTCTCTGCCCTGCTGAGCCCGCCAAAAGTCCCATTCTGCAAATGGTGCTGCACCAGTTGAGTAGTCCTCGACTTACGACTGGTCGGGGGTCGCGGCATTAAAAAGGTTGAGAACCACTGCTCTAAAAGAAGGCAAATGACCAGCTGTCTGCAAGGAGTATAAATCCTTCCCTTCCCTATCATCCAGTCAGAGCTGAAGAAGCTTCTTGGATGAGAAGCAAAATGTCTTCAAAGAAAAACAAGTCCAGTTGCCTCTTGAAAAAACATCTTTGGGGCAAAAGCAATTCATGGCTTCTGAGGAACCATCTCATCCCAATGGGATAGGCCCACCCCACCTGCGCCAGCCGAAGGGGCAGGCTACAGACCCTCTTGGTCGATGAATTTTGGCTGGCGGGGTCCAGGAGAAGCGCCTTTTCTGCTGTGGTACCTGCCCTTTGGAACATTGTGCCCCTCCCTGAGGTGAGATTCACAGCCATCCTTTTGACCGTCTTCCCAGGGGCCTGAAGATGTGGCTCTGTCAGTTCGCCAAGGGCCCCAAAGGGGTGCCATTGCTCTGGAGGTGGTTAACCTCCCCCCATCTGCCTCTTTCTCCCTTCCTCCCCATGTATTAATTGTGGATTATTATTATTTATGGTTTTAATGTTTTACTGGCTTTTATTCTTTTAATGTTCTACCGGCTTTTAGTGTCCGTAAGATGGTCAGAGTAAAGCGCTAGGAGAGAGGGATGGCGTACAAGTCAAATAAATAAATAAACTCTCAAAACGATTCCATCTTTTCTTTTTTCTTTCCCTTATACAGTACTATCTCCTTTATGTAAACCTTTCCTGCCCGTTCAAGAAATCTAAGCAGCCGTTCATTTAACACACACAATCGATGAGATGCTTCAAAGTTCTTAATCATTCAAGGACAACTCAATGGTCCAATGCATGCATGTGCATAATGAGGGAGAGGGAGGGAGAGAGAGAGAGATGGGGAGAGGGAGGAAGAGAGGGAGGGAAGTGGGAGAGGGAGAAAGAGGGAGGGAAGGGGGAGAGGGAGGGAGAGAGAGGAAGGGGGAGGGAGAGAGAGAGGGAGGGAGATGGGGAGGGAGAGATGGGGACAGGGAGGGAGAGAGGGAGGAGGAGAGAGATGGGGACAGGGAGGGAGGGGGAGGGAGAGAAATGGGGAGGGGGAGAGAGAGGAGAGAGAGAGGAAGGGCGGGGGGAGAGGACGGAGGGAGAGGGAGAGAGGGAGGAGGAGGGAGAGAAAGGAAGGGGGAGAGGGAGAGAGGGAAGGGGAGGGAGGAGGGAGGGAGGAGGGAGAGAGGGAGGGAAGGGGGAGAGGGAGGGGAAGAGAGAGAGGGAAGGAGGAGAGGGAGAGAGAGGGAGGGAGAGAGATGGGAACAGGGAGAGAGATGGGGACAGGGAGAGAGAGAGATGGGGACAGGGAGGGAGGGGGAGAGAAATGGGGAGGGGGAAAGAGGGGGAGAGAGAGGAAGGGAGGGAGGGGGAGGGAGGGAGGGGGAGGGAGGGAGAGGGAAAGAGATGGGAAGAGGGAGGGAGGAGGAAGAAGAGAGAGGGAGGGAGAGGGAGATGGGGAGAGGGAGGGAGAGATCTCACCTGAAAAGAACTCCGTTATATCTACTTCCGTGCAACGGTAGGGCAGACCACGTAGTCGTACCACCCCATCATTGTTTACCGGCGCCGAACGGAATTTCAGGCTCCTCATTAGGGTATCAACATCCTTATTATGTATTTCGAAAACTGTTGGGAAGAGAAGTGCAATCATAAATAAAAGGCAAAAAAAATGGCAAATTTATTTTAAAATGTGTAGCAATCAGGCAAAGGGGTTTTCTGGACCGTTTTGCAAGAAGTACCTTCCACGTAGCGCTGGCCCAGGTACTTCCGGTGTTTGTTCAAGGCGTTCATCACATCCTGTTCCGACTCAAGTTCAACGATCGCATCTCCTCTACGCTTGCCGTCTCGGTACAGGAGGAAATGGATCCCTTCCAGGCCGTTTCGGATCTTGCTCCCTAGAAAGTCAGCGAGTCGGTGAATGATGACACGAGACAACTCCCCCCCCCCACATACACAAAATAAATACACTGGAATGTATTTGGATGTTTTGCATTTGGTATTACCCAACCCTCTTTCAAAACTTCTGTAATCTCTCAATATCTCAAGAGACAGCTTGGTTTTAGTGCAGGGGTCTTCAAACTTGGCCCTTTTGTGACTTGTGGACTTCCAGAATTCCACAGCCAGCCATGTTGGCTGGGGAATTCTGGGAATTGAAGTCCACAGATCTTAAAGGCTTTGGTTAGGGGTCTTCAAACTTGGCCCTTTTATGACTTGTGGACTTCAACTCCCAGAATTCCTCAGCCAGCGTTGGGGAATTCTGGGAATTGAAGTCCACAAGTCATAAAAGGGTCAAGTTTGAAGACACCTGGTCTAGTGATTGAGGCATCAGGGCTAGAAACTGAGAGACTCTGAGTTCTAACCCACTCATGAATTCCATCTGGATGACACTGGGCCAATCACCAGGAGACAGTGAGTTCTAGTCCCACCTTAGCCATGAAAACCAGCTGCGTGACCTTGGTCTAGTCACTCATCCTTCAGGCCAACTCTCCTCACAGTGTGGTTGTGAGGAAAATAAGAGGAGTAAGGTGTATTGGATACATTAGCTGGCTTGAAGTATTTGTAAAAAATAAAGGTGGAATATAAACAAATATCACAGGGTAACGTTCGCTAATTTTAGTCAAAACATTTAATTTTTTTGTTGAAATGTATTTGGTGTGGGTCTAGTACAGTGTTTCTCAACCTTGACAATTTTAAGGCATGTGGACCTCAACTCCCAGAATTCCACAGCCAGTATTGCTGGGAGTTGAAGTCCACGTGCCTTAAAATTGTCAAGGTTGAGAAACACTGGTCTAGCAGAAACACATTCATTCATTCAGTTTAGGTAATTAATTTCAGCCTCTTATCCGTGGAACAGCCTCACATTCAACCACCTCTAAAATTGCAAAATATGTTGAGGGATACTTTTGATAATATTATCACTCTCTGCTTGCAACTGTAGCTTTTTAATAAATAAATAAACAAACAAACAAATAAACAAACAAACATGTCCTTTTAATCTTGGTTATAGGCTTGGCTTTTTCCTGGGTGCCCCCTTTTTAAACTTCCCGCCAATAACTATTGGGAAACTTCCAGTCAGCCAGCGAGGAGGGGTCAAATGGGGAAGTAGCCTTGAGTCTGTGCATAGCTGCAAGAGGCATAAATCTGATGAAACCTTATCTGATTGTTCCCAATGGAAGACGAGCAGTCTGGGGAGATACTTGCAATATAGGCAGAACACAATAAAGTGGCTGACCTGGGCCTTTCATGAACGGATCTGGCTGCTTGCACCTGGCAAGAACCCAGGGATTCCCTGGTGGTCTCACTTCCAAGTACTAACCAGGTCCAACTCTCTTTAACTTTCCATGGCCAGCCCAAAACAGTCATCAGCTGTGACTTCACAAAATATACCTTGAACACCACAAAATATACGCGAAGCATAACACGATATGTTTCATGCCAAGAGGTGGGGGCCTTGAGTGGCTGCCCATTGGGCTAATCAGGACAGTGAAGTTACCTGAAAAAAAGTTGAGAACATCTTCCTCAGTGCAGTCATACGGCAGGCCTTGGGCCCGAATCAGATGCACTTCCTTCTCCCCGTCTGTTTCTTCTGCGGTGATTTCGTATTCGGGGGGAAAGCGATAGCCCTCTTGATAAGACGACTCGGGATCCTGCGAAGAGAGACAGGAATTTTTTAAATCTTGTGACTGTATTTTGGGGACTGGCAAGGTAATACAGATCCTCTGGAAGCTGCAGAAGCTGAAAAGTAAATAAGTCTTAATATTAACATTTTGGAAAAGCTCAAGGCCTTTTCCCTGTTGAGGAATTTCACAGAAATTTAATATTTTCACACATCTTGAAAAAATCTCAAAAGGACAGGTTCTGCTGACTTTCTAGTAATAGTGATCATTATTAGCAGTCAATTAATCACAAAGACGCACAATGAATCCTGGTCAGCACTATAATTTTGGCCACTACTGCTGCACATGAATCCAAGACGACAGAAGCCTAAGGATGGATGCTAAAAAACAGAAAATGTTTACTTTGGAGAAATAAAACCAGTTCTGTAATATTTTATAGCAGCCTCAGTTTAAAGAAGCTATGAGTTTAGTGGACTGTCCAGGATCCATTTGTTTAAAAAACAGTGTACAGTGATGGAAAAATTATCTGATCCCTTGCTAATTTTTTGCCCAATGACAAAGAAATGATCAGTCTATAATTTTAATGGTAGGTTTAACACTGAGAGACAGAATAACAGCAAAAGAAATAAAAAAAAAACGCATTTCAAAGAAGGTATAAATTGATTTGCATTTTAATGAGTGAAATAAGTATTTGATCCCTTATCAATCAGCAAGATTTTGGGCTCCCAGGTGTCCTTTATACAGGTAATGAGCTGGGATTAGGAGCACTCTCTTAAAGGGAGCGCTCCTAATCTCAGCTCATTTACTTGTATAAAAGGCACCTGTCCGCAGAAGCAATCAATCAATCAGATTAAAAACTCTCCACCATGGTGAAGACCAAAGAGCTGTTGAAGGATGTCAGGGACAAGATTATAAACCTACACAAGGTTGGAATGGACTACAAGACTATTGCCAAGCAGCTTGGTGAGAAGGTGACGACAGTTGGTGCAATTATTAGCAAATGGAAGAAACACAACATAACTGGTGCAGCAGTTAGAGTGCAGTACTGCAGGCCACTTTAGCTGACTGTGTTCAGCAGGTCAGCGGTTCAAATCTCACCGGCTCAAGGTTGACTCAGCCTTCCATCCTTCCGGGGTAGGTAAAATGAGGACCCAGATTGTTGGGGGCAATGTAAATATATATATACATTGCTTACTGGTGTACACCGCTTAGAGCAGTGGTTCTCAACCTTTTTATACCGGCGACCCCGGTCATAAGCATGCGGTGCGCATGCGCGGTGCCGCCCCCTGCGCCGGCTGAGGCATAGCCGGCAAGGGGCGGTGGCAGGCAGGCCCGGACGCTCCTGGGCGGCCGCGGCAGCGGCGGCGCAGGGCGACCACCGGCTGGGCCACCAGCTGGCCCAGCCCAAGGCAGGTAAGGCACCTGCTGGGCCCCACGCGCGCCAGCAACCCTCCCTGCACCCACCAGCCTCCCACCTCCCACCCCTGGCCCTCTTTTACTTACTTTTTAGTTGATCAACAGGGAGGGAAGCTCTGCAGACTGTTCCCCTTGCAGCACCGTTTGCAGACTGGGGCTTTTGGCGGGCTCAGCAGGGCAGAGACAGCCCTGGACAATTCCTATTGGCTTTTGAAAACCAATAGAATTAGACTCTGTTCAAGAGAGTCTATTCTATTGGCTTTCAAAAGCCAATAGAATAAGAGGGAGTAGCACAGCTAAGGAAAAGGGGGGGAAAATGGCGGAAAAAATGGCGGATCGCGTTGTTTGGCGACCCCCATGAAATGGTCGTTCGACCCCAAATGGGGTCGCGACCCACAGGTTGAGAACAGCTGGCGTAGAGAGTGCTTGCACTTAAAGCGGTATATAAGTCTCATAAATAAATAAACCGTCAATCTCCCTTGGTCTGGGGCTCCATCCAATATCTCACCTCGTGGAGTTTCAATGATCATGATGAGAAAGGGGAGGAATCAGCCCAGAACTACACAGGAGGATCTTGTCAATGATCTCAAGGCTGCTGGGACCACAATCCCCAAGAAAACAATTGGTAACACACGCTGCAGTGAAGGACTGAAATCCTGCAGCGCCCACAAGGTCCCCCTGCTCAACAAAGCACATGTACAGGCCCGTCTGAAGCTGGCCAATGAACTATCTGAATGATTCAGAGGAGGACTGGGCGAAAGTGTGGTGTTCCGATGAGACCCAAATTGAGCTCTTTGGCATCAACTCAACCTGCTGTGTTTGGAGGAGGAGGAACACTGCCTGTGACCCCAAGAACACCATCCCCACTGTCAAACATGGAGATGAAAACATCCTACTTTGGGGGCGTTTTTCTGCTAAGGCAGTGTTTCTCAGCCTGGACCATTTTAAGGCATGTGGACTTCAACTCCCAGAATTGGCTGGGAGTTGAAGTCCATATGCCTTAAAATGGTCCAGGTTGAGAAACACTGTGCTAAGGGGACAGGACAACTTCTCTGCATCAAAGGGACGATGGACGGGGCCACGTGCCATCAAATCGTGCGTGAGAATCTCCTTCCCTCAGCCAGGGCATTGAAAACGGGTGGTGGATGGGTATTCCAGCATGACAATGACCCCAAAACACACGGCCAAAGCAACAAAGGAGTGGCTCAAGAAGAAGCACGTGAAGGTCCTGGAGTGGCCAGGTCTCCAGACCTTAATCCCATAGAAAATCTGTGGAGGGAGCTGAAGGTTCGAGCTGCGAAACGTCAGCCTCGAAACCTTAATGCAGTGGTTCTCAACCTGTGGGTCGGGACCCCATTTGGGGTCGAACGACCATTTCACTGGGGTCGCCAAACAAGGCTGTCCGCCATTTTTTTCCCCTTTTCTTTGGCCACGCCCCTGGCACCCGGTGATGTATAAGTGGTTGGGGGTCACCACAACATGGGGAACTGTATTATGGGGTCGCGGCATTAGAAAGGTTGAGAATCACTGCCTTAATGACTTGGAGAGGATCGGCTTTCCTTAGTTTGCAGCCTGCTATTTATTTATTTATTTATAAGACTTATATACCACTTTAAGTGCAAGCACTCTCTAAGCGGTGTACACCAGTAAGCAATGTATATATATATTTACATTGCCCCCAACAATCTGGGTCCTACCCCGGAAGGATGGAAGGCTGAGTCAACCTTGAGCCGGTGAGATTTGAACCGCTGACCTGCTGAACACAGTCAGCTAAAGTGGCCTGCAGTACTGCACCCTAACGGCTGCGCCACCTCGGCTCTTATGACAGAAGGTCTCTGTTGGGGGGGGTGGGCTGCAAGGGGTGAGACACTCCCCCGCCTACGCACCACGCACACAGATCTGGGACAGGTGAGCTGAGAGCCACGCAGAGGCAATGACAGGGAGGAGGGGGGTCAAAATGGGTGCCACCTCTGCCCGGAGCCTCTGGCAGTTAAAAAAAAAAAAAAATCAGGGGAGGAAGGAAGGAAGGGAAGGAGAGGCAACTTGGTTGGAAATGCCCCAATTTGAAGGAGAAAGCGATTTTGTGTTCTGCCAGGACTCTGCTGGCAATCCAAGTTAACATTGGTATACTTGAATTGTGAGCTCTCAGGAAAGTATCCCCGCCTTGTGTGTTGCTAACAGCCCTTTCCAGTGGGGAAAACAGGACAAAGCAGAGTGGGGGGAGAATAGTTTCCTTTGCTGTATTTCCAGTCTCAGTGAGCCCTTTTAAGCAGCTAAGCTACCTCTGTTCCTAAACGCTAAAGCTGTTGCACGTAAAAAAAACAAACGGAGGAGTTCTGATCAACGCCCACAGCCACCATTTTGACACTTTTGCTGTGCTGTTGTTGTCCGTGGACGCCCCCACTAAATGCAACCACAGGATGAACGGAGCCTGGTTTGTTCTCAATCCTTTAAGTGGCCACAAACTACCAGCAAAAAGGAGGCCTTGAGAAATGTTTCCCCTTTTGCATTTGAACATCCAAGAAGGAGAAAGGGAAAGAGGAAAGAAAAAGAAGGGGAAGAGGGGAAGAGAGTAAGGAAGAAAAAAGAAGGAAAGAAAGAAAAAGGAAAGGAGAATGAAGAGGGAAGGAAGGAAGGAAGGAAGGAAGGAAGGAAGGAAGGAAGGAAGGAAGGAAGGAAGGAAGGAAGGGAGATTATAATGAGAGGGAGGGAGGGTCTGAGGGAAGTGCTGCCTTAGTACTTGCCCATGACCAGCCCTGCTGCCCTTTTGCTATCCCCTTTGCCCCCTCCTCCTGACTCTCCTGGTGGTCTCCCATCCTATCGCTGAGGATGCTTTGATTACAAAGCCGGGTCTCCTCGCATGGAGAGGAAGTGGGCCTCCCTCTGACCCACACATATTGCCCTCCCACACACACCAGGAGCAACCTGGCCAAGGAGAGCAAGCCAAGCAGAGGCAGCCTTGAGGAGAAGGTAAGCCCAGCCGGGCACCCCCTTGGGGGAGGCTCGGCTGAGCCAAGCGTTTGCCCTCCACTGCCCAGGGCTCTGGGCAGCCTGCACTGCCAGGGCTCCTCCACGTGGCCTGGGAGCAAAGGAACCGCCAACCGAAGAAATTAAAACCAGTACATTTTTCCTTTTTTTTTTTTTTTACGGTTTGTAACATTTTATTAGATTATGGAATAAAATACAAAAGCAGAGAGTAGGACACAGTGGGGAGGAAGAAGGGGGAAAAAGTGAGGGGGAGAAGGGGAAAAGAAAAGGCATTGACTTCAGACTCCCTCTGTTGCAGTAGAAGGAAGCTTTAACATCGAACCTCAACTTTTTACTTTTCCATAATATTATAAACTAGCCATTTCTATAACAACGAATGAATCTAAGCAGTAAAACCCAAAAATCCTGCCCCCCTTTTATTTTCAGTCATCAGGTTTTTGACACCTCGCTAAGCACTGGTGGTACTGGAATACTGTCATGTCCTAAAAGGGATACAATCTGTGAAAAGGTTGAAAAGCACACACACACACACCAAAACCAAAAAAAATCAACAGCTTCTAAAGATGACCCAGAAAGAGAAACAAGAGGCAGATCCTAAATTTCAAAATCCTTTTTTGTATGTCAATAATGTAGAACTGCACTATGCACCTGTGCGTATATGTGGGTGCATATATGCGCACGCACGCACGCACACACACACACCAAAACAAAAAATCAACAGTATTTAGGAATAGGTTGTCACTCTGCCAGTACTTCTCAAGATGACCCAGAGAGAGAAAGCAGAGGCAGATCCTAAATTTCAAAATCCTTTTGTAGGTCAATAATGTATTATGCACCAGTATATGTTTGTGTGTGTGTGTGTGTGTGTGTACACACACACACACACACACAGCAACATAATCAGGAACAATAGGTGGTCACTCTGCCAACAATGCTTCTCAAGATGAGCCAGAGAGAGAAAGCAGAGGCAGATCCTAAATTTCAAAATCCTTTTCTAGGTCAATAATGTATGATGCACCTGTATGTGTTTGTATGTATACACACACACACACACACACACAAATCAACAGTAATCAGGAACAGTAGGGGGTCACTCTGCCAACAATGCTTCTCAAGATGATCCAGAGAGAGAAAGCAGAGGCAGATCCTAAATTTCAAAATCCTTTTGTAGGTCAATAATGCATTATGCACCTATGTGTGTATGTGTGTGTATCAACAGTATTTAGGAATAGGTTGTCACTCGGCTAGTACTTCTAAAGATGACCCAGAGAGAGAAAAACCAGAAGCAGGTCCCAGAACTCAACAAATAGTTCTGTTTTTGTTTGAAGCTACAGCAAAGGGCTCCCTGAGAGGGCAGTTCAGTCCCCCATTCGGCCTCAAGTTGGCCAAAGTCGGCTAGCACCAGGGGTAGGCAACCTTGGCTCTTTTATGACTGGTGGACTTCAACTCCCAGAATTCCTGAGCCAGCATGGCTCAGCTTGGAAAACCTCTCCCTTTCCTCTCAGCGTGGCTGGCTCAGGAATTCTGGGACTTGAAGTCCACCAGTCATAAAAGAGCCAAGGTTGCCTACCTCTGGCCTAGGCTGCTTTATGACTTGTGGACTTCAACTCCCAGAATTCCTGAGCCAGCCTGGCTCAGCTTGGAAACCTCTCCCTTTCCCCTCAGCGTGGCTGGCTCAGGAATTCTGGGAGTTGAAGTCCACCAGTCATAAAAGAGCCAAGCTTGCCTACCCCCGGGCTAGGAAAAGCAGGCGCGGCAGACGCGAACTTCAGCAGCACGTGTGCTCAGCCAAGCCCGCCTGTGGGGAAAACCGCCCCTCAAAGACGGAGGGTGGGGAGAGAAGAGCGAAAATCTACCAGTATCTGCCGAAGCATCCCCAAAAGAGGGGCGCGGAGGGCTTTTTTTTTTTTTTTGCACCCTGAAATTATTCTGCAAAGAGATTGCGGGCTCTCTCTCTCCTCTCCCTCTCTCTCTCTCTGTGTGTGTCTGTGTGTGCTAATTCCCCAAAAAACCCCCCCGCCCCTCTTTCCTCCTGCGGGATCAGCCCAAGGGCGAAACGGAGCAGCTCCGCCAGGCGGATACGATGGGGAAAAGGATACAATGTTGCCAGCCTTTGCCTTTCAAAAGTGGGGAAAGGAAGGAGGTCGAACAGGCAAAGACTGGGGGGAGGGGAGGGCTACGTCCCGCATGACCTTCAACCCGGAGGCCGTCTCCAGGAGGCCCGGGGCTGGGAGGCTTTTTAGTCCAACACCCCTCCCAGGGAAAGGGTGCAAAAGAGGGGGGATTGAAGAGAGAGGGAGAGGGAGGGAGAGAGGGGGAGAGAGAGAGAGGGGGAGAGAAAGAGGGAGAGAGAAAGAGAGAGGGAGGGAGGGGGAGAGAAAGGGAGAAAGAGGAGGGAGAGAGAGAGAAAGGGAGGAGGAGAGAAAGAGACAGAGGGAGAGAAAGAGGAGGGAGAGAGAGGGAGGGAGGAGGGAGGGAGAGGGAGAGAGGGAGGAGGAGAGAGGGAGGGAGAGGGGGGAGAGAGGGAAAGAAAGAGGGAGGGAGGGAGGGAGGGGGACAGAAAAAGAGAGGGGTGAGGGGGAGAGGGAGGGAGGGGGAGAGAAAGGGAAAGAAAGAGGGAGAAAGAGAGGAGGGGGAGAGAAAGAGGGAGAGAAGAAGGAGAGAGAGGAGGGAGGGGGAGAGAAAGAGAGAAAAAAGGGGAGGGGGAGAGAGGGGGGCATTCTCCTCCCCCCCCGGCAGAGGCGACCCCCGCGGCCTACCTGGCTGTAGCATCGGCCCGCGAGGGGCGGGGCTAGCAAGGACCCCCGCCAGGAGGAGCCGAAGCCGGGCACTGGCCCGGCCGAGCTGGCGACCCCGCGGCTCTGCGTGGCTGCCCCGAGCAAGAGCAGGAGGCGGCGGCGGCCCCAAAGGCCGAGGGCGCCGGCGGGGGGCGAGGGCGCCGGCGATGAGGACGACGAAGAGGAAGGCCGCAGCGGCAGGCAGGCCGCGCCGGTGTGGCGGCAAGTGCTGTAGCTACAGCCGCAGCCGCGGAGCAGCGCGCCCAGCACCCAGCGAGTCCCGGCCATGGGAGAGGGAGGCTTCGTCGACGTCGTGGCAACCACCCCGGCCCAGCTAGGCCTTCCGGCGCACGCGCGGGCCAGGGCCTTCCGCCGGGGGTGGCGCAGGCGCGGTGGGCAGCTTCTCACCTGGCACGTGGGTTCGGGTGGCTGGTCCGTGCGCCTGCGCAAAGAAGCCGCAATGCCCGCCGACCTAAAGCGGGCGAATCTCTTTGGTAGATGCAGAATAACTGAGTTGGAAAGGATCTTGTAGGTCAGGGCTCTTCAAACTTGGCCCTTTTATGACTTGTGGATTTCAGCTCCCAGAATTCCTCAGCCAGCCTGCCTGGCTGAGGAATTCTGGGAGTTGAAGTCCACAAGTCATAAAAGGGCCAAGTTTTGAAGACCCCTGTTGTAGGTCATCTAGTCCAACCCCATGATTTGTTATAGCGGGCAAAATGTAAAGCAACGCGGCCCAAAGTGGCTGCCACTTTGCCATCTTGTGCTTTCCCGAACCCATTTGAAGATACCGTTTTTTAGTAATAGTAATAGTAGTAAAGTTGGAAGGGACCTTGGAGGTCATCTAGTCCAACCCCCTGCTCGGGCAGGAAACCCTACACCATTTCAGACAAATGGCTGTCCAGTCTCTTCTTAAAAACTTCCAGTGTTGGAGCATTTACTGCTTCTGGAGGCAAGCTGTTCCACTGATTAATTGTTCTCACTGTCAGGAAGTTTCTCCTTAGTTCTAGGTTGCTTCTCTCCTTGATTAGTTTCCACCCGTTGCTTCTTGTCCTGCCTTCACTAAAAACTAAGCCCCCAGAAGTTGTGAATGCTCCAACACTGGAAGTTTTTAAGAAGAGACTGGACAACCATTTGTCTGAAATAGTATAGGGTTTCCTGCCCGAGCAGGGGATTGGGCTTAAGGCCTCCAAGGTCCCTTCCAACTCTTTTATTATTATTATTATTATTATTATTATTATTATTATTATTATTATTATTATTATTATTGTTGTTGTTGTTGTTGTTGTTGTTGTTATTATTCAATGAAGATATGGGTGCATATTAACATGACTACATTAAGAAAAATGTGTATTTTAACTAAGAAAACCTTCACATAGTCCTACCGCAAGTTCTCTTGCATTTCTGCTGAGTCTTGGTCCAAGGGTCCCTCTGCCTCCTGAAGCTTGTAACAAGCAGGTAGAATGCCTTGAATTAACTGTGGATCAGGTAACAATACCATATGGGTCACCTTGGTACATTGTGCAAGCATCCATTTAGCAATTCTCTTCTGTTGCAAAGTTGGTCTGTTGCTTAAGGCACCAGGCTACAAAGCGGGAGATGGTGAGTTCTAGTTGCACCTTAGGAATGAAAAGCCAGCTGGGTAACTTTGGGCAAATCACCAGGGGACTGAGAGTTCTAGTCCCACCTAAGCCAGGAAAGCCAACTATGTGACTTTGGCCCAGTCCCTCTCTCTCAGTCCACCCACTTTGTTGCTGTGGGGGGGGGGGGAATAGGAAGGAGTATGATGTGTGTTCACTGCCTTGAGCTATTTATAAAAATGATAAAGGCAGGAGATGATAGATAGATAGATAGATAGATAGATAGATAGATAGATAGATAGATAGATAGATAATTAATTAATAGATGATTGATGGATGATAGATTCGGTAGATGATAGACTGATAGATGATTGATAGATGATAGACGGGTGATGGATTATAGATGATAGGTAGACAGATAGGTGATAGAAATCAAACAGATGATTGATGATGATAAATAGATGGATGATAAAAATAGATTGATAGATAGATGGATGATAGAGATAGACAGACAGACAGACAATAGACAGACAGGTAGATAGTGTGGGCAGGCACCTGTTGAATAGCACCTGCAGCAGGAAGGCCCAAGAAGCGCAGAAGGACCAGGGGAAATATAAAAAGGCCACCCTCCATCGGCCACAAGGCGGGCAAACCATCGTCCTGCACGTCGGCTAGACTTCCGCCCTCCAGGCGCGTGGGACTACAACTCCCATCGTGCCCACCCAGCCCGCCTGCCTGCCTTCCCGCCTTCTTGGGGCGGGAGCTGGCGGGTCCCAGCCCCGCGAGGGGAGGCGCGGCCACCAGAGGCGGCTCCGGACGGCGGCTGGCCTCGTCAGGGCCCGCCCGCCTTCCCTCCTCCTCTTTCGCCCGCCGCGGCCGCCTGCCATTGGGAGCTGCGCCCAGGCAGCCGCTCTTGCTCCGCCGCCGCCGCCGCGCCGCCATCATGAGCTTCTTGTTGTAAGTGCCCGAGACGCGTCCGGCGGAACCGCCTCGGGCTCCGGCAGCCTCGCCGGCGGGGAACAACCCTGAGCCTGGCCGGCCGGGCCCTCAGCAGTAGGCAGCCCGAGGCGCCTCCGCCCGTGGCCGAGGAAGGCGTGAGGGGAGCGGGCGGGCTTCGGGGCAGAAGCGGCCGGAAAGCTCGGTGGGGCCGCCGGCGAGGCACTTCTCTCCCTTCGGCCTGGCCCTTTCCTCCGGCTGGCTTCCTCGGCCCGGTCCTTCCTTCCTTCCTCCCTCCCTCCGTTTCCAATTCTTTCTCCTTCCTTCCTTCCTTCCTTCCTTCCTTCCTTCCTTCCTTCCTTCCTTCCCTTCCTTCCTCCTTTTCCAATTGTTTCTCCTCCCTCTCTCCTTTTCCAATTCTTTCTCCTTCCTTCCTTTCTCCTTTTCCAATACTTTCTCCTTCCTTCCTTCCTTCCTTCCTTCCTTCCTTCCTTCCTTCCTTTCTTTCCTTCCTTTTCCAATTCTTTCTTCTTCCTTCCTTCCTTCCTTCCTCCCTTCCTTTCTCCCTCTCTTTCAAGGCCAGCTGCTTCTTCCGGTCCAGCTTGATTTCCGGAGGGGAAAAAAGCACTTTTATAAAACGTATATTATTTATTTGGGGAAGGGGGGAGAAGGAAGTGGGGTGCCTTGGCTGGCCTTTCTCTCCCCCCATAAATGGCTACCATTGAGGGCCAGGATATTGGGGAGCGGGATCTCCGGGCCCGTAATGGGGAGAATGGGGATTTAGAGGTCCATCCTTATGTGGAAACAGGGCTGGGGGGTGAGTTGCCTTCCCCCACCACCACCAAGGTCTGCTTTGAAAAAGTTTTACGTGTTTTTCTTTCCCAGAAAGCCACTCAAGTAAAATTTGGGTGGGTGGGAGAGAATAGTCCTTATTTTGGGGTGTTCTGTGATCCATATGGTGGTGGGGGAGTGTATGCGGGTGTGGGTGTGTGTGAAGGGTCTTGTGTCAACTGGAGCTGGGTAGCCGATAAATCTAAATAAATGAACTCCCTGCAGTTAAATTGGGGCAGGATAATGGTTCAGCACGCCCCCCCACTTTATGTCTTTGCTTCCCTCTGTCCCCCTTCCCCATCTCTGCTTGACAGCAGCTGGGTGGCTCCCCAGGGGTCTCCTTTTGCAGCCATAAAATGGAATGGCATCTCCCACCCTTGTCAAGGGGTCCTGTAATCAATCATCCTTTCTTTACAAGAGTCTTTTCAGCCACCCTGGTGGCTTTTTTTTTTTTTCTGGGTTCATCCGATGAAGCGACGGAGATGCCCAATTTAGAAACGTTTTGTGTACATGTGCATTGTTTGGGTTTTTTGCCCTTTGAAATCCAGATTGGCAGCTTCACCCAGTTGGTGCTGTGATATAGAGATGGCCTTCCTCCCCCTTTCACATATTGGCTGTTGATGGCAGCTGTGCGGGTTGCACTGTTCTGGTTTTTCTTAATGATCTTTGACAAATTCTGGCTGGTTTTTCTTAATGATCTTTGACAAATTCTGGCTGTAGAGAGAAGCAAGTTTATGATCGAGTTAAAAAGATAATCCTTTAAAAAATATGTATCTAAATTTAGAAGACAGTTGTGTGGTTCTTAATAGCTCGATGGGCCTTTCTAGAATATCTAGAGGAAATGCACTGTGCAGCTTTCCTTTACAGTAATATAATGTACGTCCTCAGAATTTTGTATTTTGCTTCAGATTGCAGTGGAACAGACATGGTTTTTTACACTGATTTTTTTTTATTGTTTGGGAGAGTAAATTTTACAACCGTGCTAATAAAAATGATGTCCCTACTTCCACTATTGACCTTTGAGAACTGCTGGGAGAACATCTATTAAAGATTGTTACATCCTTTGTGAGGAGTTATATATGTTGCCTTGAACTCATGAATAAATTTTTAACAATAAATAACAGTCCTTACTAAATTCTCTGATGTTAACTTTTGAGGAAGCAGCGTTTATAAATACGGTTTTACTCCTAAAATAGCACACAAGGAACAACAAATTATGAATTTTATTAAACCTATGGAATAATAAATATCTCAGGGGTATGATCCATATTTATTAAATCAATTTTTCTAACAGTATTGGTATCAGTTCCAAAATTCAAAAAGTTGGCTCTATTAATTTGGAGATGTTTTTATGCCCAGTCATGACTAGCACATACATATGTGCAGCCTTTTTTTTTTTTTTCAATTTGGTTTTCTAGTTCAAAAGCAGAAACTAAAGCTCTACAGGACTGGAGACATTGTAATTGTGATAAAAGATATTAGTTAAACGAATTACCATTTAAAGCAGTGGTTCTCAACCTGTGGGTCGGGACCCCATTTGGGGTCGAACGACCATTTCACGGGGGTCGCCAAACAAGGCTGTCCGCCATTTTTTCCCCCTTTTCTTTGGCCAAGCCCCTGGCACCCGGTGATTATAAGTGGTTGGGGGTCACCACAACATGGGGAACTGTATTATGGGGTCGCGGCATTAGAAAGGTTGAGAACCACTGATTTAAAGGGTAAATACCAAGGGATATCCTGGGGCCTTCAAGGCTTAACAATTCTTAGCACTTTATTGAAGACCAAGACTGAGTTAGTGAAAACTGATGGCAACATGGCTATGGAGATAGTATTGAACTGTTGTTATCCTGGCTAATTGTGAGAACGGAAGTATTGCAGTCTGACCACATTTGATCACTGCAAGCTGAAAAATGTAACTTGTGCAACAGTTCTTGACTTACCACCATTCATTTTGTGGTCCTTTGAAGTTATAATTATATTTTTAAAAAGTGACATGTGTTCTTATGACTATTGCAGCATCCCCATAGTCAGGTGATCACAATTTAGGATGGTTGCTGCATCCTGGGGCTAGTTCAGGGGCAGGCAACCTTGGCTCTTTTATGACTCGTGGACTTCAACTCCCAGAATTCCTGACCAGCCATGCTGAGGGGAAAGGGAGAGGTTTTCAAGCTGAGCTATGCTGGCTCAGGAATTCTGGGAGTTGAAGTCCACGAGTCATAAAGCGACCTAGACATAGGCCAGAGGTAGGCAACCTTGGTTCTTTTATGACTCGTGGACTTCAACTCCCAGAATTCCTGAGCCAGCCTAGCTCAACTTGGAAACTCTCCCTTTCCCCTCAGCATGGCTGGCTCAGGAATTCTGGGAGTTGAAGTTCACAAGTCATAAAAGGGCCAAGGTTGCCTAACTTTGGGCTAATTGATTACCTTCTGGCCTTCCTAGCCAGCTTCCAATAAGAGTCAATAGGGAAAGCTAGATTCACTTAACAACCACATGTGTCACTGAACAACTGTTGTGATTTGCTTAACAACCAATGGGAAAAATGCTCTTAAAATTGGATGCAAATTACTTTGATTAGCAGCGGGAATTCTGATCCCAATTGTAGCAGTACGTTGAGGACTACAGGTAGTCCTCAATTTACGACCACAAATGATCCCAAAATTTCTGCTACTAAGTGAGACATTTGTTAAGTGAATTTTGCCCCATTTTGCGACTTTTCTTGCCACAGTTGTTAAATGAATCACCACAGTTGGTAAGTCAGTAACACAGTTGTTAAGTGAATCTGGCTTCCCCCATTGACTTTGCTTGTCGGAAAGTCACAAAAGTCGCAAAAGGGATCACATGACCCCGGGACACTGCACCGGTCATAAATATGAGTCAGTTGACAAGCATTTGAATTTTGATCACGTGACCATGTGGGTGCTGTAGCAGTCATAACTATGGAAAACGGTCGCAAGTCACTTTTTTCAGTGCCGTTATAACTTTGAACAGTCACTAAATGAACTGTTGTAAGTCGAGGACTCCCTGTACTTCTATTCTCAACTGTGGAGCCAGTCCTTTCTCACCTGTTTTCCCTAACGTTACTATCATCTTGTGCTTTCTGGTTAGCGGAAGTATAAATCTACACACAGCTAGATTTGGTTACTGTGGCTAAAGTAGGTGACCCAGCTTTTGTTTCTACTGGCAGTTCTACAAGGGATCTCCTGATTTGCCTACTCTGACGAGTCCTAGTAATAAGATGAATAGTGTATATTGATCCCCGTTTTTAATATTGTTCCATACAATATTAAAAACAAGGAGACTATACTCTGACATGTGCAGATTGATTGCTTGTAAAACTGTTGTTCCCAGACAGGGAAGCACATGCCAAACCCTTGGCTATGTGCTGTGCACTAGTATTATTTCCCTGTTGTTTTATTTTGCTTGCTCAAACCCACACAAGAGAAACAAGCAAAGATCAGATAGATGAAAGCAACCTCGTGGCCTTGTGAACTCTGTCCCTTTTCCACGTGGGGTGAAATTGAAGCCATATTCAAAAGGTGTGGAGCATGTAGCCCAGGGCTGCTATGCTGCTTTCACCCTCCTGATAAAAAAAACAGCAAAATTGCTGTCTGGTACTTCTTTTTGGCCCCTAAGTCTCAACACCTGGAAATTGCAAGAAACTTTTGATGTCTTAGGACTGACAATAGAAATGTAATAAGCAGATAAACCTGGAATTAAGGATGAGGGGAATGCAGCTTTTCTCTATTTGTTTTGGGCTCTTAACAAATAGGAGATGCAAACATGCAATTCATGTGTGTGTGTGTGTGTGTGTGTGTGTTTTCTGAGGTTTTCGCGGGTGTTTGTATGTAGGTCTTTGGTTCGGGTTTTCTCCCGCGTAAAATTGGAAGTGTCTTGGTGATGTTTCGACGAAGTCCCATTCGTCATCTTCAGGCTGGTGTTTTCAGCTTCGTGCTCCTCGAAGCACGAAGCTGAAAACACCAGCCTGAAGATGACGAATGGGACTTCGTCGAAACGTCGCCAAGACACTTCCAATTTTACACGGAGAAAATCCGAACAACCAAAGACCTACATATATATATATGTAGGTCTTTGGTTGTTCGGGTTTTCTCCCACGTCAAATTGGAAGTGTCTTGGCGACGTTTCGACGAAGTCTCATTCGTCATCTTCAGGCTGGTGTTTTCGGCTTCGTG